CACACACACACACACACACACACACAGAGGACACTGATTGATCTTCAGTCTGGATCTAGTGGGTCAAACAGTGCTCTCATCATGTAATAAATATAATTGTTATATGAATATTAATATTTGAATGGAAGGAGAAACACTTCCAGTATCTTTAGTTGTTCATGTCAGCAATCATTCAGACAATAAAACTGCAGGGATTTGGATCAAATTGGTCAGACACCTGTAAGAATCTCATCAAATTAGACGGATGTTAACACGGAGCGGTTGTGTAAGCCCTCATTCACATCTCATATTTAGTTTATGTTACTAGCGGTCTAGCGTGTGCTGTCTGAGCTCACGTTCATGACGGTCTCGATCGTACAGTGAGCTGCATCAGCCGCTTGTTCTTGTGCTCCTCAGGACCCTGAAATGAGTTTATGATTGCTGTGTTTCGTGTCACTTGGTTTAAATGTGTCTGTGTTTTTTCTCAGGACTCGCAGTGAACTCTAACGAGTCTCAATCTGGCACTGTAAGATTCTTCACGATCGAGAGACGTCCAGCCTTCAGTTTCAGACAGACAAACCTGCTCAGAAAGACTCTAGACGTTTCTCCTCGCTTTGAGGAAAAGACTCAAATATGTGAGCGACAGACCGGTTGCACTGTTCTCAGCTGCGTTTGTGTCTGTGCTCTTCCTGGTTCATGAGTAATCCGTCTAAACAGATTCCTGTCTAATCAAGCTGATTGTGTATGAAATGCAGAAGCGGAGGAATCCCTAAGGAGCTCATGTCTGATCTGAAGGAGCCGCAGGTGGAAGAGCGTCCCGTAAGACTCTGCCGTCTCACTCCTGCGCTGGCGAGCGATGCGTGTGCCGAGCCGCTGAGCATGTACGCGGCAGGCGGTATGACGGAGTGTAAGGCGGAGGTGACTCCGTCGGCGAGGAACGGTCACCGTGTGTTCAGCTACACGCTGGAGAGCCACACAGCGGCTGCCTTCTCCATCATGAACGAGCTGCGGCTGGAGCGCCAGCTGTGTGACGTCACGCTGAGGGTCAAATACAGCCAGCTGGACGCCGTGGACTTCGTGGCTCATAAGGTGGTGCTGGCCTCGTCCTCGCCGGTGTTTCGCGCCATGTTCACCAACGGCCTGAAGGAGTGCGGGATGGAGGTGGTGCCCATCGAGGGGATCCACCCGAAGGTAAGAGGGTCTCAGAAGAGCTAGTGACGGCTCTTTCTCACACGCGTGTCTGATCCGTGTCTGGCTGTTCTCAGGTCATGGGCCGGCTCATCGAGTTTGCGTACACGGCGAGCATCTCTGTGGGCGAGAAGTGTGTGATTCACGTGATGAACGGAGCCGTCATGTACCAGATCGACAGCGTGGTCAAGGCCTGCTGTGATTTCCTCGTGCAGCAGCTCGACCCGAGCAACGCCATCGGCATCGCCAGCTTCGCCGAGCAGATCGGCTGCACTGAGCTTCACCAGAAGGCCAGAGAGTACATCTACATGAACTTCAGTCAGGTCAGTCGCGCTCAGCCTGTACGACGAGAGCGTTTACCTGTTATAATAAATGTTTCTTGAACAGCAAATCAACATATTAGAATGATTTCTGAAGATCATGTGACACTGAAGACTGGAGTAATGTTGCTGAAAATACAGCTGCGCATCACAGAAATAAATTACAGTTTAACAGAAATTCACATAGAAAACAGTTATTTTAAACAGTAAAAATATTTCACAATATTACTGCTTTTGCTGTATTTCTGATCAAATAAATGCAGGCTTGGTGAGCAGAAGAGAATTCTTTAAAAA